AACCCTCGGTGTTGCGCCCGCACCGCACTCAGCCAGTGAGCGGGAACCGGTCTCCACATGGGATCCGAACCCTCGGCGGGAGCGCCGCCGCGCTCCCAAGCGTCGCACTCTCCATTGCGCCACCGGGCTGGCCCCAACCTTGTGATTTTAACCTGCTCTTTCCAGGAGCTGACGAAGTGGGGCATTTTTTCTTATGCTTTAGCCATTTGCATGCCTCTTCCATGAAGAGCCTGTTCTGGTCTTTCTCCTCGATCGGGCAGACTTAAACTTATTGATACATGCTGTATACTAATCTTTTTTTTTTTTTGGCGGGTATGGCGATCCAAATCCCTGATCTTGGTGTTATCAGCACCACGCTCTACCGAGTGAGCCACTGGCCAGCCCCCGACCACCTTCTCACCCCACTTTAGAGGTGCGGACAGCACAAGTGTGTTCTTTCCACCCTGGGGGCATCCCCTGCTCCCTGGGCCATAATGTGGCCATTGTGCCCCACCCCAGGCCAGCTGCAGGGGGCAGGTGGGGAGCAAAGTTGACCTGACCTGAGGAAAGAGCAGTTGAGGTGGGTTTGGAGACGGGCTTGGTCAGAAGCAAAAAGGGGGAGGGGAGGCCAGCGATACCATGGCTGGGGGACCCAAGGTGGCCTTGGGCCAGCCTGTGAACCCCGCCTGGTCTCAAAAGCCTGGTGTGTAACAGGCACTCCCCTGTGCCCGTGTGGTGCCTCTGCCCTTCTGGCAAGGCTGGAGCCCCTCCCTGCCCCCAGCACTGCCCCTCCCTCTCTAAAGGCCCCCGGTGGGGGTGGGCAGCCCATAAACTTCCGCTACCTCTCCCCAGAGTGTGCAAGGCTGGAGCTCAACCTCTTGCAATCAGAGCTGCTGGGCCAGAGTCCAGTCCCTTCCACAGAGGCACCCACACTTTGGGGTCCAGTGGGGTGGGGCCACAGGGAGCTGCAGACCTTCAGGGCTTCTCAGGGGGCCTTAGGGGAGCCTGAGGGGTAGGTTTGGAGTCTGAGAGCCCAGCAGAAAAGCCCAGTCTGAACGACAGACAGCAGGTGGGTGGAGGAGCTGGAATCCTGGGAAACCCGCTGGGACCGTGGCCCCAGGGTTCCCTCTGCTCAGCTGGGAAGCAGCCAGCCTTCCAGGAATCTCAGCTTTGAGGCTGGGGGCAGGGAGGGCCGTGGGGGAGACACACAAGCCCAGACTGGGTTCCCACCTCCTGGAGGCTGTGGTGTGCTTGGGCTGCTGGGGGGAGGGGCTGAGGGACTAGGACCCTCTGGATGTCCCACCTTCCTGGGTGCCTGCACCTCAGCTGAGAGCGGAGCACGCCCTGGCATCTTCCACCCCCACCTGCTCCCTCCGGGGCCCCGCGGCCCGCACGTGCCCAGCTGGGCTCAGTCAGGGCATGTGTGTGGGGCTTGGCGTTATTTACTGCCGCAGCTTCCTCCTCCTTCCAGTAACTTGTCCTCCGACTTCAGGCAGCTTCTGATTAGGCAGCGAGACCTCTAATCTCTCAGATCTCGTTTACTGGCATCAGTCTCTCGCTTCCTGTTACTGGGCCTGGACTAAGGCACGGGGTCAGCTCCATGCAGGCTGGGCCCTTGCCTGTTCCTGGGGCCTCTGTTCTGGCCCCTGGGCCCACCCGGCGGTTAGGGCAGAGGGGTCAGACTCCAGGCATCGTGAACCGTGGCCATCTGGGGGTAGGTCCAGTTCTGCAGACACCAGCCCAGTGCTGGGCGCAGAGGACCCAAGGATGAGCGGGCTGCAGGCTCTGCCCCCTGGGGCTCAGGGTCCACTCGGAGGGGGACCAGTGCTCCTCCCTTTGTCCCTGCTGGCTTGGCTGGGTACCCACTGAGGTCACTCTTGCATCCCCTTCTCCCAGTGCTGCAGCCACCAGGCCCAGAGCCCTTGTGGGAAGGAAGGATAAGGACGGTTCTGGCGATGGGGTGTGGATAGCATGCACAGGACAGGAGTCTGGGCTTTGGGTCTGCTGCCCTGGCGACACAGAATTCCAGGGCTTGTCCACGTGGTCTACCCTGGGTGGGCCTCCCCAACCACCCCAGAGGAGTTCTGGCCTCTCAGGGTCACCAGGGGTGTGGGCGAGAATGGCTGCCCAGCCCCCACCGAGGGCCTGCATCCAGCACAGCCAGATCCCACCTTGTTTCTGAGCAGTGTTCCCAGTAATGGCTCCCCCCGTGTGCTGGACACCTACTGTATGCACCAGTTACAGGCTCTCCAGCCAGTCATCTACCCCGAAGGAGGGACTCGAACCCCATTACCTAACGCTAAAGAGCACCCTCTTTCCCCACCCTGTGGAGGAAGTTTTGCCCTCAGTGGGCCTGTTTCTGTCCCCTGTGCCATAGACTAATTTCTCCCCCTGGGAAGCCCCACAGAGCATGGAAGATAGCCATTGTGGGGGGCACCCGGGGCACCCCAACCTTGGGTCCCCAGCTGCTGATAGGACAGTTGGGATCAGAAAAAGTATAGACTTCATAGTGCTAGAGTTTGGGAGATCTTTGGGAAGGAGGAAGGTTGGAACTTGAGGCTGGCAGATGGGCGAGTGGAGAGGCACCAGGGGCCCGGTCACAGCTGGTCTCCTGGGACTGCTCTCCAAAGTGGGGTACAGAGGATGATCCACTGCGGCGGGGAGGAGACTTTTATACTTAGTATTTGAATCTCTTCTTTTAAAATGCCAATCTTTTGTAGATATTTTATAATGCAGGCAACATATTCCTACAGTCATGGAAATTGTGATCTACAAACACCTGTACATATATCATTTTTTCTTTTTTTCAAAGATGACCGGTAAGGGGATCGTAACCCTTGACTTGGTGTTGTCAGTACCACGCTCTCCCAAGTGAGCCACAGGCCATCCCTATATGGGATCCGAACCCGGGGCCTTGGTGTTATCAGCACCGCACTCTCCCGAGTGAGCCACGGGCCGGCCCCACATATATCATATTTTTATCAGTAGGGTGCATGGTATAAACAGAGTGAAGGTTTGAACTGTTTCCTGGGTCTTATCACTTCTCATCCTGGGTACCTGCTTGCTGAGCTCTCGGCCCAGGAGGACAGGATGAAGGAAGGTCCTGCGTGCACGACTGGCTGCAGCAGCAAGTCTCCAGCCAGCCTGAGGGGATCACAGGCTGGGCTGAAATCTAGGAGGTGACATGGGCACAGATGGGGCTTGGGCCTCTCTGTGGTGGGCGCTTGCCCCTGCTGGGAGCAGAGACAGGACAGAGCTGGCCCTGCCCCTGCCCCTGGGGTATAGGAGAGAGCAGCCCCTGACTTGGGATGGGAGGACCACACGCAGAACCTGCCAAGGACACCGCTTGTTGACCAGCCCTGATTGGGGCTTCATCTCTGGAGAGCTTAATTGCACAAACAAATATTTGTCACGCTCCTGCCAGAGCCCAGGGCAGGGGCAGAATGCAGTTTGTGCTGCCAAGTGTTCCCAGCCTGGCGGGGCGATTGATGCATACAAGAACTCCTGTGAGGTGTGTTCCCAGGGTCTTTGGTGAACAGAGGGAAGTTGCTGCTGGGTAAGGAAGATTCAGGAAGAAAACTCCAAAGTCCTCAACCCATCCACCAGTCAGTATCTGTTGGGCACCTGTTAGGTTTGCCGGTTCATGCTGGGTGCTGGGGTTAGGGTGCTTTTTCTCCTGCTGAGAACAGAGGACCTCAGGTGGACGCCAGGAGCTCTGCTTGGCCGGGGACCATGATTCCCACTTTACTGGGGAGAAAAC